CCTAGTGTTGAGCCTTTTGCAAAGAGAGCTTAGTCTTTGCGAAAGAGCTGCTTCAGGGTTCAAAGTAGCCTTGGCATCTTTTGATAGGTTATGGAGTTTTGGTGGTTTGTTTAATGCTACAAACCTTTGCTGATTTGACCGCAGTATGTTTTGATGTTCTTAAATTTTATCTGTAGTGTAATGCTCCAGTAACATGGTAATATTTTAAGCAGTCTGCTGAATGTGTCCCTCTTCCCCAAAAGAGCTAGTGAAGCCAAGGTGTTGATTCTGTGTTTTTTCAATATCCCCTGAACCGTGCGAGAGGAGTTGGGCTCGGATTTTCTCTGAACGCTTGCTGTGTTTTGAAGGTGAGCTATGGAAAGGCCTGAAACTCTGGCTCCTGTCAGCACCTTTGCTGGTCAGAGCAAGGCATCCTTCAGCCTCGCCCCAGCCACCAGATAACGAAGGAGCTGCAGGCGACGTGCGGCAGAGCCACCCAGGTAGCATCACGATGGCACGCGTGGCTCTGGGCGCCTTCAGACCGCAGGGTGTGCGGGATAGGAAGAGCTTGCCCCCTCTGCTCTGACATACCGGTTGCTTGCGCGCCTCGGCAAGGTTTGGGGGAGGTTTGATAGCTCTGCGCCTGTTTATGGCAACGCTTGAGGTCTTTGAGGCTTGGGTCTGGAGGCCGCGTTGTGCTCTGCCTCTGCTGTGACCCGGGGTAGGGTCCTGTGGAGGGGAAGGCAGGCAGGGCGCAACTGCAGGGTGGTTCGTCAGTCGGTTAGGATGGGAGTGAGAAGTGGAGAATATTTGTCTTCTGGGCAGTAAAGATCTTCAGCAGCGAGTCCAGGTTCCGATGGAGATGTGCTCCTTCTGCAACTCTGTGAAGTATTGGCTGCAATAAGGTTTTGCTGTCAGGCTGCAGTTTGAGGGAGTCTGTCTCTTTGAAACGCATACACGGTAAAAGCTTCATAAATAAGAACATTGAAGAACTTTTTAGAGCTCACAATGTTAACGCTTCTGATTTTTGCACATTGCTGTCATCTTTTATTTAAAAAACACGCAAACCCAGAACACTGCCATTCCAGTTCTGTGGATAAATAAAAAGCGCTATTTTTTTTTTTTTTTTTTTCCTCTTCTCTCCAAGAACTGCGCTCATTCAAGGTGTAAAAAAGGTGTGGGGAGGAATCAGCCTCATTCAAACATTCATCCAGATTTTGAGTGGTATTTTAAGGGTATGGGGGAAGCAAGGGTGATAAATAGGCTTAAATGCTGCAGGTTTCTCAGGGATTGGAGTATGCAATCTGGAAAGTCTTCACACATCCCAGATAAATGTTACCTTAATTTGATTTGAGGGTGGAAAAGGCAGCTATGGCCCTGCGCTGAGGGGGTTTCGCATTTCTTCCCACTCCCTGCCTTTCTGCCAGAAGCCCGTGGTGCTGTTTCTCTTGGTGGGTGCAGAGTTTTTGGTGGGGACTCTTTCTCCACTCCAGAGAGTGCTCTAGGAAGACTGAATCAGTAATTCACTGAGGATTATTTTGTCGTAGCAAAGAGATGAAGCAAATCTTCAGCATGCTGTCATGAGAAAGGAAAAGAACCTCACTGTATTTTTTCCCCACTCCCAGATAGCTTCTTGTAACACAGAGAGAACAAACTACCTCATCACAGCTGCTGTGCCCGTGAAAAGGGGGAGATTGGCACTTTTGCCCTGGCGAGATCGATTTTGCGTGTACGCTCTTTGGGAACAGGAGGCACTGGAAGAGGGAGGGCTCTGCTGAGAGCACAGACAGTGGTTTGGGTAACGACTGAGACTCCGGAGAGCCAAGTGCGTGGCCAGCTCCACCACGGGTTTCACGCGTGGCCATAAGCAGGTCTCACTTCTGTGGGGTCTCTGCTCACTGTTCTTTGTCAGAGGTGCAAAATGAAAATCCCAGTCCCGGAAGAAGACACCGAGTGACATTCCCTTTTTGAATAGTAATTGTCTTTGTGCATGTTTTTCATGTGTCTGAGTAACACTGAGGCTGTAGAATGCAAAAAATGGCAAGTGTTCTGGAGTTTATGCAAGTGCCCTGCATAGCTCTCCATGTGTAGCTATGCTGGGCATTTGGCAATGGAATTGTCATTTTTTAAATGAAATGTTTAGTTATGTGATCTGGTACAAATGTTCATTTCTTTGTAGGGCTTTACTGATGAGAGAGGTGCACTTAAAAGTTTCAAAATCAGTTTATGGGATATGAACAGAAAATTGTTCTTGCTGTTTGTTTTCGTCAGAGGAGTATTGGCACTTCTCTGCGCCAAAAAGAGTGTGGCAAAGTTGCGTTGTTTGATGAGTCTGTAGAGCTCTGAAAAATGAGGCTTTCTACTAAAAATACTGACTGCTGCTATTAGTGTACTGTACAGCTTCTATGCTCAAACTGGTTTCCCTTGCCTGTGGTTGTCCTGTACTCTATTCTTCCGTGGTTTCTCCTCCCATTAAATGCAAACAGGCGGTGTTCCTTTAGCAAGCCCACTTTTGTTTTGTGGGTTGGACATCCTCAGAGACTTCTAGCTCTGGTGGGAGCTAGAAGGTGGGAGCAGTGCGTTTGTCTGCGTGCAAGCTGCCGGTTTCCTGGGTGCTCTGCCACCTCTTGATGCTCGTCCCAGTGCCTGGCTGGTTTGCGTGCCTCCTGATCAATCTCAGCTCACTTAATTGTAAATCAGTGTTTCTCTTGTTGTACTGGTGCAGATGGAGGTAGCTATGACGTTATTAGCGACGCATCCAGCCCTGCGGCGGGGGACTGCTGTGTGCAGCAAGGCTCTGCCCGACACAACTGGGAAATGAACTACCAAGAGGCAGCCATCTATCTCCAGGTGAGCCCTTCTCTTTGCGGTGTTGTGTGGAAAGTGGACTGCTGAAACTGTGCTAGTTCTTGGTTATAGGAAACACCGAGCTTCCATTTTGAGGTTAAAAGTTTGGTGCTTTGCAAAGGAATCTGCTTGAAGAGTGGGGGGATGCTGGAAGTACCTGAAGGTTGCTTCATGATGAGCTATGGCAAGTCATTTGGGAGCAACTGAACAAGCTGCCCATCCTCTCCCATCTTTTCCTCAGTGCCAAGCCCTGTACTAGTTGAGGGATTTAGCACGCGTTCAGTTCTGCCGCCTCGCCGTGGAGATTTCTGTACTTGTCACAGATCGTTGTTCTCCCTCTCCAGTCGCTCCAGGGGGAATGGTCAGCGCTCTCCTGGAGGCGTCTCATGTGCTGGAGGTGCAGGTCCTAGTCCAGCCTTGGCTGCACATTTGGTGGGTGGCCCTGGGATGTTCGTGTAGCATCAGTCAAGCCCTGCAGGTCAAGTAAGACATGAAAGAAGATAGAGGTCTTGATTTCTAGTGGAAGAAAGCATGCTGAGATTCAGATCAGCCTAGGAGTGAAATTTATCCTATTTAAAAAGAAAAAGCAACAGAGACAAACAAACCAACCCCACCCATGCTCCAGTTACAGGAAACACCATCGTAAAATCAACGAAAGTGTAATATTTTTAAGATCGCTGCACAGTCTGGTGTGATGAATTAGCTACCAGAACTGAGCTTCTCCCAGAGCTGGCCAGTCTGATATTGTTGCTGGTTCCCTTACTGTCCTTCCTTCCTCCTTCTCCTTGTTCCCTTTCAAAGGCTCTGCACTGCAGTTTGAGATGCTTCAGACCCCGTTAGGTTTTTTGCTTAAGCCACTGCAAGGTGATTGAAACCATTTGTTCCTCCCAGCTCCTACCCCACCAGACTGAGTATTGCTTCTCTGACATTTTAAAACCGGGTGGGCTTGGACCTTGGTAATACTTCAGCTTCATCGTGTGCTAGAACAGAGCTAGCAATATAATGGTAGCTCCAACCCCTCCTGGGCTTTTGTTTAAACTCCTGATTATTGAAGATGCTCTGCAAAGGGTCATTGAGTTGCTGCAGTGTCTGATGCTAATGTACGCAGCAGGCTTGGCCCTTCAGATGCAGATTATTCTTGCTGCTGCCTTGACCAATGCTCACGACCACAACGTCCTTGAAATGAAGTAGGCATAACTTAAAGAGCATGCATATTGCTTGTTCGAGCCAGTAGCTGCAGGCAAGGGTGTCTTATCTGAGTAAGAGGACTTTGCTGTCCAGCACCGTTCTGAATTGCTTGGCTACCAAGAGGCAGAATTTAGACTATTTTTCATTCTGCGCGTGTGTTTTGTCAGGCGTGAATAAGAATGCCCTGCTGATCTAAGCCAGCACTCTCTTTGAGGAGGGGGTTGCGTTTGATGGAGCTTGCTGCTGGGTTTTGTCCTGCTCGCGATCTGGGTCGCTGACCCAGCAGTGTGTGTGTGTTTGTTCTTAAATAGAATGTGAGTTTGCCTGAAAGATGAGTAAGTGAGAAACATCTGAAACCCTCTTCTGAATTAGTCTCAAGAATGCTTCACTTCTTAAAGGAGATCCTGTTCCCTGACCTTGTTACCCATTTGCAATCACAGTGATTCCGCTTCGACACTAATAGCTTACTGTCCTTACAGTAATTGCTTACCTGGGAAGATGTTAATTTCAAAAAACAAACAAACAAACAAAAACAAACCAAAAAACAAACAACAACAAAATAAACAAAAAAAAGCTTCTTGTGCATCTGTGTGTCTCAGCTAGGGAAAAGTGATCTCGTATGGCAGTTTCCAAGAGGCAGCAAGTTTCCTGTGAGTGACTAAAGCTCCCTTACTTAAACCAGTGAGTCAAAAAAGGGAAGAAGCTGTTAGGTGGTTCTACATGAAAAACCTCTAAATTCTCCCCAAACTAAGTTTTGTCCTAGAGGGGAAAATACTAATGATGTGGCTGTTTAAAAATCAATTGTAAGGCAAACTGTTAAGATGGAGTAGCTGACCTTTTAATGTTAATTAAGCTTTCTAGTTAAGAGGGAATGACAAATCAGCATAGAGACTTGTTAATTTTTCATGGAATCTATCTTCTCACATTCCTGAAGCAGTGCGTGTGCTCCAGTGTTTTCTCCCAGACGTTTTGCATGGCCAAGATAAGGAGGAGCAACTGTCAGCCAGGTGCCCTGGAGCTTATCTGTGTGTTTTCGTATTCTCTCCTGGAGAAGTTGAGTCAAATAAGCCTGTAAACATGTGGAAGTGGTTGCAAGTAGATGAAGTGTTGTGTTTAGGTTGGGATGTTGACAAAAGTTTCTTTGCTGACCTTTATAAACTCATTTTCAAAAGGCTCGAAGGTTCCTGAAGCAGGGGTTTGTGCGTGGGAATGAGTTTCATTACTGAAATGTGCCTATGAGCAGAAGGGGACGTCCCGTGTGTGTAGGGTTCACTTCTCCATCAACAGATCAATGTCAGGCTGCGAAGCGGGAATAGTCTGTTGGGAATTGTATCTAATCCCTATAAAAGTCCACGTTCTGCACGTGGAAAGCTCTGTTATAGTACAAGGAGTCACTAATGCTGTTCTCTTCTTTATTCCTG